AATTTATCTGTGTTTTTTATTCCTCTCCCCCCACCCCCCAAAGGTGAACTGACAGAGACTGTTTGAATAGGAAAATTAAATTACTCTGTCCAACTCTCTTAATGTTGGAGCAAACCACACAACTGATCTCCCCTCCAGCCCTCCCTAACAAGTGAGGAGAACTTTGAGCAGAGCCTTAGGGGAAGACATCTGCCTCCCCTATCACCACTGTCTATGTGGTCCTTTGCTGAGTAGTGCGTGGCTTCTGGCTAAATAGAAAATTCCATGACAGTCAGAGTTTTCTCATCTAAGAAGCTATTGCCGAAGCCAGGCATTCCAATCAGATTTCAGTGACATGATTTGGGACACAAAGCAATGCAATCTAAGTGGCTAAGAGGAAGGAGCCAAAGGTTCTCATCATTAAAAACCCTAACTGGAAAAACTAAGAAAAGTGTTTTCGAAGAAGTCATGAGGCCAGTACTGCTTTTATGCCTGAGAAAGTCTTTCCCAAATTGTGCTCTTTAAATGGACAATGTTATTTCGTCGTTCTCGTCTTAGCTGTTTTAGTAAAGAATTGGAGGTCTTCTTCTATATATTTAAGTGGGAAAACCTATCGACGTCTCTTCAGTAAAATATGTAGTTTAGTGTGCTTCCAGTTACAAGTAAAAACAGAAAATAAAAGAAAAAGCTCAAATTGGCTTAAGCAAGGAAGGTAATTTATTGGATCCTATGACTTAAAAGTGGAGAGAGGGCACGGCGTCCAGTAGTGAGGAGCCATTGCTGGGGTTATGCTGGTGGGAACAGCAAATAAACAGGGAAGAGCACGGTCTCGCTTGCGCTTCCCGCCTCCGCTATCCCTCTAGTGCCACCTGTTGGCAGACTCTGCCAGGTCTAGATGGCAGAGCACAAATGTGGTTTGGAGAGCTGCAGGCTAGCATCGCAGAACTAAGTAACGGAAGACAGGGCTTGGGGTTGAGAGACAATAGCTTAATCGCTATCACATCTCTATAGAAAATGACTTTTCTAAATTGCTGTCAAACGAAAAGATAATCAGAGAGAATGCAGCTAAGAAACCTAAGAAATGAGTATCATGGAGCTACATCAGGCAGTTAATTAATGAAAGCATTTATGTTATTATTCTGGATTACGTGATGTGTTTGTTCTCTGTTACTTTCTGAATTGAGGTTGTAATTTCTTTTTGCACTCTAAATAAATGTTACCTACATACTTAAAAAAATAAAATAAAAAAGATTTACAACCTTCCCCAATGGTATACAAGGATCACAAAATCCCAAGAATGAAGCTATTAAGGGACTAGCCCTTCCAAATCTCTGCTTACCCCCAAGGGGAACCCCAGCTCAGTGGGTATTTTGTCCTGGGTGCTTTGTTGCCCAGAGCTTAGCTGAAAGTGGAGCAGGGGAGAGGACAAGATCCCCAGTCCCTCCACACGTCCTTCTTTCCCCTGGGCCCCCAGACTGCACTGGAAAGAACCATCACCCCCGGCCCACGGCTCCCTGCACAGAGGAGGTACTTAGTCTAGCATTTACCTGGATGACAGACTTTTCCTGTGTCTGAGCTCCTTTTACCATCACCACTCTCCCTCCTTGCAGGAAGTGCATCCTTCAGAGAGCAACAGGCTTGTGTTTTTTGTAGGTTGGGGGACATACCCTCCCCTCTCTTAATCATGACAGCCCAAGTGTATTTCTCTGGGGTTCTGCTTCACGTTATTCTATATAACCTCATATAGGCTAATAAAATAAATAAATGTAAGCTCCTGGAAGGAGGCATCGTCCTTTATTTATTTATTTATTTACTTACTTACTTACTTACTTACTTACTTACTTACTTAACATAGTTCCATGGCCAGCATGGAGCCCAACACAGGGCGTGAACTAACGACAACCCTGAGATCAAGACCTGAGCTGAGATGGAGAGTTGGATGCTCAACCGGCTGAGCCACCCAGCACCCCAATTTCTTTATCTTCCCTTTGCACTTCATATCAGTTAGAATTTCATTCAGTTGCAAGTCACAAAGATCTGAGAGCTAACGTTTTAAACATAGGAGGGTTTGTATTGTCATGTCAAGTAGGTGGCTTTAGTCTGTATGGGTTAGGGTTCTGGCAGCCCCACCAGCCATCACTGGCCAAGGTTGCTTCCGGCTCTCGGCTCCAGCATCTCTAAGGAATAGCCCTGTTTCCCACCATGGCTGCAGTGCTTTGGGCACCACTTCCATGTTCCAAGCAGCAGAACAGAGAAAGGGAAAAAGCAGACCCTTCCCTTTTGAAAAAGGAGCATTTGCAAGTCCCACTACCCTGCTGCTTCCATCTCATTATCCAGAGAACTTAGTTACGCGGCTGTACCCGGCTGCAAGGGAGACTGGAGAATCAAATCTTTTAGCCAGTGGATAATGTGCCTGCTAAAAACTAGATACTATTACTAAGGAAGAAGTCGATGAATATTGATGAAATGCTGATAAGTTAGCAGAATATTGGTCAAAGGATTTCTGTTTGAGGAAGAGTTTAAAGAGGTTAAAGTTTAAGTTGAGAGTCAATGTCCAGAAAGGCTGAGATGACAGAAGGGCTCTCGGACAGTTTACTCAGAGAGATGATGTGCAAAATTCAGAGCCCATTCCACGACCTCATTTTTCTTTAACATTGAAAATATTTATTGGATTATATTAAGATTCCAGAAGTACACCTGTGAACTTTAGAATATTTGGAAAAAGAAAAAAATAATGTCCCTTACTCCCAGAATCTAGAGATAGCCCTAATTAACATTCTGGTGTGCTTTATTTCAGTCTCTTCTGTGCATAAATAATTTGTTAATTTTTAACAAGTAAAAAAAAAAGATCATTCTTGCTGTTTGTAGTGGTGTTTTAACTGTTTTTGGAAAAGTGATATATTGAAAAGTCTTCCCCCACCCTTGTCTCTTGTCCTGCTCTCCACTCCAGGATCATTGCTCATGGCAGCCTCTGTAAATCCCATCACAATGGGATCTTTTGTACATTTCAGCAGATACAAACTTCCAAATCCCCGGTGACACATTTTACATAAATGCCAGCCCAGCACACACACTGTTCCTCACCTTGCTGTTTCCACCCACACTTTATTCTGCTTTTTGCCAGATCAACACAAGAGCTTCTCTCTTGGCTTCTGTGCCATTTCTTCCTGTGGCCGTATCCCATTTATTAAACTGCTCCTCTGATGGACACTTGAGTTGTTTCCAGTCTTCTGCTATTTCAAACAATAAGCAGCCTTTTATAGGTCTCATTTGCATATGTTAACATATTTATAGGATAAATTCCTAGAGGAGGAATCACCAGGTCAAACGCACTTGTAATTGTGAGAGGTGCTGCCCAATTTCTCTCCACACTGATTGCAACAATTTACACGCCCGTCAGCAATATATAAGAGTGTCTGTTTCCCCACAGCCTCATCAAAAGTGCATGTTTTCAGATCTCTCCGTTTTTGCCAGTATGATAAATTTTTTAAAATCTATCTTAATATAGCTTTAGAATGGGGAAGGTCGAATCATAGTGTTTGCTTTTGTTTTTTGTTTTTGTTTTGTTTTAATTTCTGTCTTAATGGTATTCCTGCTCAGTGCTCTACCTTTCATGCGTATTTACCTGTGAGATCTCTGGGTATGCAGTAGTCGGTTAGACTAATAAACATGAAGGCTGCACCCCTCAGCTGAACAGTTGCTCTTTCTCCCTGCATTTTATCCCTGATAAATGCACGTGACATTCTAGCTAAATAATTGTGTTTTTCTAAGATTTTATTTTTAAGCGATCTCTACACGCAACACGGGGCTCGAACCTACAACCCCAAGATCAAGAGCCACATGCTCTACTGACTGAGACAGCCAGGCGCCCCTAAATAATTGTTTATTATTTTGATGGTTTATACACTGCTTTATTTCTAAAATATTTTAAGTAAGAAAGTTGGAGTAAAGACTAAAAAAATGACTGTAAGGAATGCAAGATGAAGGCAGACATGAAGTCAGTTCACCAATAGCCTCAACAGGTTATTGAAATAGCAGGCAGGTCACAGATTTGGCCAGTGACAAGAGCCAAAGAGTTCAAAACATCTGGGTAGGACTCTGTCAGAACCTGGCTTTTCCGAGGCTGTAATAATCACCAGAGTGTGTGGAGAGACATTCCTTCTTTTCTCGGCATTCATGCTCCAAACTCAGGTGCCCTGTGGGACTGGAGAGCAGAGACAGCCAGAGCCCTGGGAGGAAGGTGGTCAGCGGGTGGGGAGGGAAGAGCAGAGGACGAGGAAGAGCTTGGTAGGAAGGAGAACAAGGCAAGAGGAGTGGGGAACGTGCCAGAAAGTGCACTGGTCAGAAAAAGCTGCCTCCAAATATTATCTGAACATGCATAGATGCATCGTTTATCATACTGTGGGAGCTGTAACAAATCGACAGCAACTTCATTCTCCTGGAATTCTTATGGTACCATGTGGCCTGCTTTTTCTAAGCCCTGACCTCGGTCAGATTCCTGTTTGGCATCTTTGCTTTGTCTTCTGGCCAAGTCCTACTTGGAGTTGAGCTCTATAGAGGAAGAAGGGATTGCTTTAGGCTTGGATGGTGACAGTACATCATCTGAAAACATTCCAGTTCCTAGTAGAGGGAAGCATAATTCTAAGAATGTTCAGGAAAACTGGAGACCATCTTCATGTCTGTCGCAAATGACAATACTTTGCTTTCCAGTATTCTTCATATATAAAATTGTCACTTTAAACCCAGATTTTAAAAAGTAGTCCTACTAGGATTACAGCTCCAGTAAGAGATATTTGCTGGTAGAAGGGGATAAGAACAAAAAATAGCGTTAGGGTATTAGGGTGAAATTTACCCAAAAAACCAATGTTGTTATAGTTGCCTTTTCATACACACAAAGTCATAGCCATTGCTCAGTCTCAAAATAAACTTGTTTTGCTTCATTTGGTGCAGATAAAGCAATCGTCTCTCCAGACAAACCAAACAAACCCTTTAACTTACAGCACAATATTTTGTCTTTCCAGGCATCCTATAAGCCATTGTTGAAGCAGGTTGTGGAAGAAATATTTAATCCTGAGAGGCCAGATCCAGTGGATATTGAACACATGTCTTCAGGCCTCACTGATCTCCTTAAAACTGGATTCAGCATGTTTATGAAGGTAAAGTGACCATGCAGAGGTGATCCTGACAGTGCCACTCTCTGTGATGGGCGTGGCAATGCTGACACCCCATTCACCCTGGGGGAACCATATAAGGTAACACCCAGTATTTTGGCTCTTCTGAAATAGGTGCAATCTTTATTTAACTTCAGTTATAAGCAGCCTGATCTTCCAGCCTTATGCAGCTTCTTTTGACCTAAGCACTATGGTCTTTTTTCAATCGATATGTGAGGATACAAGCCCCCTAGGAGAGTGTGAATGGAAACTTTTCTCCTCCTTGGCCCACATTTTCACTTAATCCATATACTATTCACAGGTCTTAATGATGGTCTCTTGCTCTTAATTCTAGAACTCATGTAGAATAATGAATAACTCTGCTCAGTCACATGACTTTCATCACCCCCAAATCCATTCGAAAATGGCGTTTTAGCCTAGTGGACTCCCATCCCAGGGGCCAAGGGCTAGACTTTCTCTGGCTAATGTCAAGGAGAGGTCAAAATGACTGAACAGCCTTTGCCATGGGGATGAAAGGAGGAGAAGTACACAAATGAGATCTATTTTTAACTCACTGTAACGTTTCTGAATTTGAAAGAATCTAAACAAGATTACAGACTGGCCTCCCAGTCTATGCCAGGACTTTAGTTGTAATAACTCTTGGAAATAACAGAACGTTTTGCCTGCTTCAAAGCGTCTTTGAAATCGTGAACTAATCTACATAGCAGATCTGGCCTTTCAGAGTTCAGTAAATGCATATGCCAGGAAAACTGGTCCACGTGAACAGCCAGAGGACAGAAGCCAGACAGTCAGACCCGAGACAGAGCAGTAAACCGGCTAGAGGGGCCGCCCGGGTCGCCTTCCTGCTGCCTCCACTTAGCACTGTCTGTTGTTCTGCGTGGCTCCTGGATTTTCCCCCTCTTTATTATTATTATTTTTTTATAAATAATCTATTACAGATCAGCTTCTTAAAAGCGTGTGGGGGCTCCTCGGTTGCACATAATCCCGAGGTTGTCCAATAGCCCTTCACGATGGCTACTTTGCCTAAAAACTTCCAGACTAGACGTGGTCTCCAAAACCTTCTCCACTTGAGCACCCTCTTCCTTCCTTCACAAGCTTGGACTTCGCCCTGAGGAGAGGCTAAAGTAACAAGGTTGGGCTTTCAGGCCCTGGTCTGTGAGGCCGGCTCGACAGGTCCTGGGCACCTCCCCAGTCAGGCGGCCGCCGCCGCGTCTGACATTGGCCGGGGGCACGGTGAAGGCTCCAACCTGCCTGCTCTCTGCTCTCCACCTCACTCTTGTCCGGTGATGTCCCACGATGTCCCCATAGCAAAAGGATCCTGTGACCAAATACGTTTGGGAAACACTGGATAAAACAACAAATTAAATTGCTTCCGAGGGCACGGTGCCTTTAATATGCTGATGGACTGTGCAAGTGTCAGGCCAATATGGAGCCTCCCTTGTGGGAGACGAGCGGCTTGCGCTTTCCATTACTGGTTCATGAACCGCGACACATCACATTTTTAAATTACCCTTTTACGCTCTGCAGAGTGTTTGCTGCAGCTCTTTTCACTGATCAGAAGTGTCACTGTCCTGAGGAGGATTTTGCCTGGGAAAAATGGGTGTGGAGCCGTTCTAGGCTGCTGTGTTTCTCTTCCTTCATATCCCTGGGGTTAGGACTCATGAATAAATGCTCTGGCCCCTTGAGACTGATCTCAAAGAGGGGATTCCAAGTAATGCATTTCAGAAAAAGGGAGAATTTGTGTTTTCCCAGCAGATATCAGAATCCATTCCTCAGCCCCCAGCTGCCAGGCATCTGCTCTCAGTTGCCAGGGGGTGTCCTCTGTCTGCAGGGGGTGAGGAGAGTCTCAGTGGACTGGCCACAAAGCCCTCCCCACGCCACCACCCCAACGGAGAGGCGTTTTGTTCTGTTTCTACCTGGGCTTCCATGCTGACTCTTCCCACCACACCATAGAACTTGAAAAGTAACATTACCTCTGGCTCATGTGTTCAGGACTTGAACAAAATAAATGGGATGAACGTAGAGAAGAACAGTCAGTAGGGCTTTGAGGAATAACTGCGATTTCCCAAGGAGCTATGTCTTTGAGATGGAGGGAAACCATCAGGAGAGAGTATCTTCCACTCTGTTTTAAGGCCCGTGGAGAGAAGAGGATGCAAGATGCGTGTCTAAGAGTCTCTGCTTCAAACCAAAGCTCTGTGAGAGGGAAGTCAAGGCCACTGGAGTTTGCCCTTACTGAAGTTGGAATTTTATCTGCATCCTACTGCAACTTGTTACCATCTCCTTCCCGCATTGCTTTCATGTGCTTTCCTCTATAAAGGCTGTCCAGAGAAGTCTTCCATCCCCATCTGTTCTGGTTATCTCTTGCTGCATAAGAAGCCATCCCAAAACACTGACTTAACGTACTGTTGATCACTGATTTTGTTCCTGAATCTGTACTCTGGGCAGAGCTCAACAGAGAGCAATTCACCATCAAGATGGCACCCGTACATGTCAGCAGGTTGATGCTGCCCATCAGCTGGTAGCTCAGCCTGGCCCATGAGCTAAGGATGCAGTTCTCTCCATCGCCCTGAGCTTCCTCACAGCATGGCGGCTGTGTTCAAGGGCAAGCGTCCTAAGAGAGAGCCAGATGGAAACCTCAGAAGTCATGTAGCATCCCCTCCACAGTGCTCTGTTTGTCAAGGCAGACACCCATACCACCTGGGTTGGAGGAGAAGGAACTTACTCTCTTCTTCTTGGAAAGGGAGCAGAAATTATTGTCGTGGCCACTGTTGGAAAACACAATCTGCACTCAGCCTGAATATGCACTTGGCTGTCCAGCCTGGTGGGGCAGCGTGTGACAAATTCTAAGAGTTTTCCTTCCAGTCTAGAGGACAGAAAATCCTCCCGTGCTCTTGACCCAGATTCAAAATAAGTGCTCCCAGAAAAGCTTTGATAATGAAAGATCTGCCTGTTTGCCATAATTTTTTTAAATAATATAATCTCAAACACAAACAAACAAACAAAACCAAAATCTTCCTGCGTGATAAGACACTACAGGACTTTCCTCTCCCGGGTTCACTGTGTCAGGCCCTGGAAGGTAAAGCAGACAAGCTGGGGAGAAGAGCCAGTGTGCCCATAAGACCATTCTTCGAATGGTTCTGAGACAGTGTTTCAAGTCCACTATGTGCACTCCTCAAGCAGAAGATAGACTTGTGGTTAGCCACATAAAGCTGTGGGCTTCAAAAGGCAATGCCTTGGAGGGGGGTGCTATCAAACTGGGGAGAAACAGCTTTGGCAGAACCTGACATTCTTCAAACAACCAAGCATTTCTCCAAGATGCTTGTGCATGGAGCACCTTGATCTCCTTACAGGAAAGCTTGATAGTGATCTAATAAATAAATCAAAACATACCTTACCCCCCTCGCTTCAACGTTAATTTAATTTAAAACTAGCGTGTCTAATAGGCAGCACTCTTAAAATGCATTTCTGGAATTTGTGGTTTGGATTTTGGTCTCCTGAAAATAATATACTTTATATCTTCTCCATGTGTTTGGCCCCCAACTTGTTTTGACTAAAGGACATGATTTGTCAAGATGTTTTCTCTGCTGGAATTGGCATAAGGAGGGTGGGTTTTATCTAATGAAATTGCGTGAGGCCCTTTTACCTCCTTTTATGTATTTTTTTTTAAGATTTTATTTATTTATTTAACACAGAGAGAGAGATCACAAGTAGGCAAGCAGGCAGGCAGAGGGAGGAACAGGCTCCCCGCTGAGCATGGAGCCCAATGCAGGGCTCGATCCCAGGACCCTGGGATCATGACCCAAGCCGAAGGCAGACTCTTAACCACCTGAGCCACCCAGGCGCCCCTTATGTATGTTTTTTTTTATCTTTATTTTTTTTAAAGATTTTATTTATTTGAGAGAGAGAGAATGAGAGATAGAGAGCACGAGAGGGAAGAGAGTCAGAGGGAGAAGCAGACTCCCTGCTGAGCAGGGAGCCCGATGCGGGACTCGATCCCGGGACTCCAGGATCATGACCTGAGCTGAAGGCAGTTGCTTAACCGACTGAGCCACCCAGGCGCCCTATGTATGTTTTTTAAGAAGGTTTTTGTTGCTGTTGTTCCATTTCCTATGTGGCCATGCTTAATTGGAAAAAATTAAAAGATTTGTGAAAAAGACTCAGCGAAGACCCAGTGCTTGCCTCTGGGCCCTTCTCTGAATTGATATGAGAGCTCCCTCGCCTTGGGTCCACGGGGGAGATGGAATAGCTGCTCAACAGGCCCTGCAAAGCTGGTCGTGAGAGGAGATTGGAACTGAAACTCTTTCAGTGACAATGAGGATGCCAACAAAGTGCACGACTTAATCATTTCTTGTGAATCATTTATGGTGAAGACCGAGGAGGATCTCGGGGAACTCAGGGCAGCAGTGTGGTGGGCCTCAGGAAGGATGGGGACTGAGAACTAGAAAAGCCATCAGGAAACCAGACAGTTCTCTGGGACTCGCTCTGGCCTGCAGAAGATGCAAAGCACACCAGCCAGCACAGGGCAGGTGCCCAGGAAGTATTCACCGAATGAACAGCTGGGTCGTGATGCCACAGCCCTTGGTTCTTCTTAAGAGCTCAGCTTTGACAGAGCCTCATCTGTCTTCAGTCAAGTCTTGATTCCCAGGGAAGGATCTGGAATTGGCCCAACTGAGGTCAGCAGCGCTTTCCCCGAGCCAATCAGCTATGGCTGAGGGGCAGGATCACATTGCAACTGCATAGCTGCCGGGAGCCTACCCCACAACTATAGGCATAAAGGAGACCATTCATGTGTGGGTTGGATGCACCTATAGCGAAGGGGTGAAGGCTGCCATGGGGATGAAGGGCAAAAATGATGAGCCTCAGGTGAGATTTGCTGTCAGAGCCTTGGACCGTAAGAGATGGACATGCCTATGGATCATCTCGTCCCTCTCGTCATTATTTACATAAGCAAACAAGATGGAGAGATGAACTGTTGGTGTAGGTCC